ATACAGCAGCAGGCGTCAGGGTCGGTTTCGAACCCACGACCTCCTGCACACCAGGCGAGGTAGTTAACATCTCCTAGCCACCGTGATCATGATTAGAGAGACGCAAACTCCAAATATACAGCAGCAGGCGTCAGGGTCGGTTTCGAATCCACGACCTCCTGCACACCAGGCGAGGTAGTTAACATCTCTTAGCCACCGTGATGATTAGAGAGACGCAAACTCCAAATATACAGCAGCAGGCGTCAGGGTCGGTTTCGAACCCACGACCTCCTGCACATCAGGCGAGGTAGTTAACATCTCCTAGCCACCGTGATGATGATTAGAGAGACGCCAACTCCAAATATACAGCAGCAGGCGTCAGGGTCGGTTTCGAACCCACGACCTCCTGCACACCAGGCGAGGTAGTTAACATCTCTTAGCCACCGTGATGATGATTAGAGAGACGCAAACTCCAAATATACATTAGGCGTCAGGGTCGGTTTTGAACCCACGACCTCCTGCATACCAGGCGAGGTAGTTAACATCTCCTAGCCACCGTGACGATGATTAGAGAGACGCAAACTCCAAATATACAGCAGCAGGCGTCAGGGTCGGTTTCGAACCCACGACCTCCTGCACACCAGGCGAGGTAGTTAACATCTCCTAGCCACCGTGATCATGATTAGGGAGACGCAAACTCCAAATATACAGCAGGCGTCAGGGTCGGTTTCGAACCCACGACCTCCTGCACACCAGGCGAGGCAGTTAACATCTCCTAGCCACCGTGATGATGATTAGAGAGACGCCAACTCCAAATATACAGCAGCAGGCGTCAGGGTCGGTTTCGAACCCACGACCTCCTGCACACCAGGCGAGGTAGTTAACATCTCCTAGCCACCGTGGCGCCGCACTAAATTGCGTATGGCAGCAATTATGTTGAGGGTTTTAATGCCAGTGTCGAGATTTGCTGGCCACGACGATATGGCTTCGAGATAGAGAGTTCGTGTCGCGTTGCTGTTTCTAATCCGTAGAAGGAGCGCAGACCGCAGGTCTATAGTTTGTATTTCATGGCTACAATGTAACTATGAGTCTATGTGCAGTGCCTATATCAGTCTCGATGTGTCCATGTATCTCTATTGGTCTGTTTGGGTTAATAACGATACAGTACAGTCCACAGCGCGGGTTGCATCGCCAAAATCACAGGATGCTAAGTCCACTGATTTCCACATCCTTTCGTCACCACATAATTCCATCTCATCTCCAGCACGGGCCGCACCCGTTTAGCCCCCTCGAAATCCGCCCCAACAGAAGCTGCTTGAACATGCAGCGGCTGGGCATGCGGGCAACATGCCCCAGCCAACGCAGCCTCGCCCGCCAGAGGAACTCACGAATGATTGGGGACTGTGTCCAGATCTGTGAGCCCCCCCCCCCACACACAATCTACTGCTGAACGTCTCTGAGAAAGAGCGAGATAGCTCATTGGATTCCTCCAGTATAAATAAACATTCTGATTCTGATATACATTTATCACTGTCACTGAGCACAAGCTCACAGGTCCAAAACGCCAAGCATCCAGCAACAAACAGCACTTCAAACGCTGTAACAGGTCACGCGTTTCTTGAATGAGCGATGATCTAGGACAGGGGTCGGGAACCTTTTTGACTGGGAGAGCCATAAAAGCCAAATATTTCTAAATATATTTCATTGAGAGCCATATAGTATTTTTAACGTATAATAAATTAAATGTCTTACTTTTAATGCGACTTCTGGTCACGGGACCCGTGACCCGAGAAATTTTATCTTCAAAACTAATTTCTGTTTACTTTAAATTAACACAGTATTATTAAGCAATATCACAAGTATTTTAAAATCAGTTCCAAACTGATTTTTTTATTTTTTTTATTTTTGTTTTCCAACTCAAAATTGTCTGGGAGCCATATGCCGTCACCGGAAGAGCCATAGGTTCCCGACCGATGATCTAAGAACTTGGGAAAAGAGACGATGGGAGGGAATCCCAGAATGGAGGTGTTGTGCGAGCTGCAGTGCGGCGAGCGGGTGGGCGTTTCTGTGACTTGTAGCGTGGTGGTTGAACCCAGAGTGATGGATGAGTCGGTGTGTGAGTGACTGAGTGTCCTGTTGCCACCTGCAGCGGGGTGGTTGAACCCAGAGTGGTGGATGAGTCGGTGTGTGAGTGACTGAGTGTGCTGTTGCGATTTGCAGCGGGGTGGTTGAACCCAGAGTGGTGGATGAGTCGGTGTGTGAGTGACTGAGTGTGCTGTTGCGACTTGCAGCGGGGTGGTTGAACCCAGAGTGGTGGATGAGTCGGTGTGTGAGTGACTGAGTGTGCTGTTGCGACTTGCAGCGGGGTGGTTGAACCCAGAGTGGTGGATGAGTCGGTGTGTGAGTGACTGAATGTGCTGTTGCGATTTGCAGCGGGGTGGTTGAACCCAGAGTGGTGGATGAGTCGGTGTGTGAGTGACTGAGTGTGCTGTTGCCACCTGCAGCGGGGTGGTTGAACCCAGAGTGGTGGATGAGTCGGTGTGTGAGTGAAAGAGTGTGCTGTTGCGACATGCAGCGGGGTGGTTGAACCCAGAGTGGTGGATGAGTCGGTGTGTGAGTGACTGATTGTCCTGTTGCGACTTTCAGCGGAGTGGTTGAACCCAGAGTGGTGGATGAGTCGGTGTGTGAGTGACTGAGTGTGCTGTTGCCACCTGCAGCGGGGTGGTTGAACCCAGAGTGATGGGTGAGTCGGTGTGTGAGTGACTGAGTGTGCTGTTGCGACTTGCAGCGGGGTGGTTGAACCCAGAGTGGTGGATGAGTCGGTGTGTGAGTGACTGAATGTGCTGTTGCGATTTGCAGCGGGGTGGTTGAACCCAGAGTGGTGGATGAGTCGGTGTGTGAGTGACTGAGTGTGCTGTTGCCACCTGCAGCGGGGTGGTTGAACCCAGAGTGGTGGATGAGTCGGTGTGTGAGTGAAAGAGTGTGCTGTTGCGACATGCAGCGGGGTGGTTGAACCCAGAGTGGTGGATGAGTCGGTGTGTGAGTGACTGATTGTCCTGTTGCGACTTTCAGCGGAGTGGTTGAACCCAGAGTGGTGGATGAGTCGGTGTGTGAGTGACTGAGTGTGCTGTTGCCACCTGCAGCGGGGTGGTTGAACCCAGAGTGATGGGTGAGTCGGTGTGTGAGTGACTGAGTGTGCTGTTGCGACTTGCAGCGGGGTGGTTGAACCCAGAGTGGTGGATGAGTCGGTGTGTGAGTGACTGAATGTGCTGTTGCGATTTGCAGCGGGGTGGTTGAACCCAGAGTGGTGGATGAGTCGGTGTGTGAGTGACTGAGTGTGCTGTTGCCACCTGCAGCGGGGTGGTTGAACCCAGAGTGGTGGATGAGTCGGTGTGTGAGTGAAAGAGTGTGCTGTTGCGACATGCAGCGGGGTGGTTGAACCCAGAGTGGTGGATGAGTCGGTGTGTGAGTGACTGATTGTCCTGTTGCGACTTTCAGCGGAGTGGTTGAACCCAGAGTGGTGGATGAGTCGGTGTGTGAGTGACTGAGTGTGCTGTTGCCACCTGCAGCGGGGTGGTTGAACCCAGAGTGATGGGTGAGTCGGTGTGTGAGTGACTGAGTGTGCTGTTGCGACTTGCAGCGGGGTGGTTGAACCCAGAGTGGTGGATGAGTCGGTGTGTGAGTGACTGAGTGTGCTGTTGCGACTTGCAGCGGGGTGGTTGAACCCAGAGTGGTGGATGAGTCGGTGTGTGAGTGAAAGAGTGTGCTGTTGCGACATGCAGCGGGGTGGTTGAACCCAGAGTGGTGGATGAGTCGGTGTGTGAGTGACTGATTGTCCTGTTGCGACTTTCAGCGGAGTGGTTGAACCCAGAGTGGTGGATGAGTCGGTGTGTGAGTGACTGAGTGTGCTGTTGCCACCTGCAGCGGGGTGGTTGAACCCAGAGTGATGGGTGAGTCGGTGTGTGAGTGACTGAGTGTGCTGTTGCGACTTGCAGCGGGGTGGTTGAACCCAGAGTGGTGGATGAGTCGGTGTGTGAGTGACTGAGTGTGCTGTTGCGACTTGCAGCGGGGTGGTTGAACCCAGAGTGGTGGATGAGTCGGTGTGTGAGCGAATGAATTTCCTGTTGCGACTTTCAGCGGGGTGGTTGAACACAAAGTGGTGGATGACGAGACGAAACAGTCAGTGTCTGGGTTAGGCAGAGTCCTCAACATAGGTGGAGGAGGAATCAACGAGTGAAGTTCCCAGGAACAGCAACCATGGTGCAGAGGTCGCAACCGGGTTACCCGATACCCGTACCCTACCCGATACCCGGCTACCCGTACCCAGCCGGATACGGGTACCCGTATGCGACCCTGGTGCGGCCGGGTACGGGTAGGCCTTGAGTCACTGGTGAGTAACTGTTTGTCACTCATTTCCCAACGTCTTGTCTCTTCTCACAATTCAAGTTCCTAGAATCAACCCACCCGCGCCTGCAACATGGCTTCATCCCAGAGGTCGCAATCAGGTACCCGATACCCGTACCCGGCTGGGTACGGGTACGGGTACGGGTACCCGTTTGCGACCCTGGTACGGCCGGGTACGGGTACGGGTAAGGAATCAAAACCCGTTTGCGACCTCTGCCATGGTGGTATTAGTAGTAGTAGCGATAGACGAGTGATAAGTAGGTGACTGACCAGCGGCGAGCGAGTGGATCATTGAGTTCACTCTGTCCGATTGCATCAGTGAGGGCGGCACTGGGTGCTTCGCCCAATAAATGACGAGCAGCAGAATTCTCGCGTGGGCAGAGTTCGTGCTCTGCGTGTCCGTATGTTGATCGTATTTCGCGCCGTACGGAGCCAATCTTGATAAGTTGGAGCAGCAGCAGCAGCAATTGTGCGGAGTTCACGGATCAGAAAGCCACGGCACGCGCAAGTGTGATTGTTGCGGGAATTCGGTTGAATCCAGGACGTATCGTGGGTCGAATGTTTCACGGCCGGCGTAAGTGTTCTTATGTTGTGCTTCCACGTGTCGCCCGGCATAGAGAGGAGAGAGGAGGGGACATAACTGTGGCGGAGAAGAGCCGGGGAGCTCCGTGTTGGAACGACAGTGCCAGGCAGTGTTTCGCGACCGACGAAAAGTTAATGGCGCTCGATTGACTCGGAACGAGACCTCCACTGCCAAACCGGAGGTGGCCATGTGCACACTGACCAGGTATAGAAAGTTAACCGCCCTCTTGACAATTGCTCATAAAGAGTTGAATGAAGGGAGGGCGGATGTTTTATATCATAAACTACCCAGGGCAGGTTTTGGTCCGGCTGATGGTAAGATGTCTTAGTGGCACGCTCTCCAAGTTCACAAAGCATATTTTCCGGAGCTCAGTCCCGGATGAAAAATAAGCTCTGGTGCCAGTGTACAATGAAATGCAAAATTTACATCGAGATGTGTCACTGTGACCGAAAGGAAATATGTAAAGGAAAATACGTTTTTTTTTTTAAATAAGAGAGCTTGTGCGACAAGCCCGACGGGTTTTATACAAAGTCGTGGTTCTCACGCATCGCCGACACCTCGCGATGCACATTCACGTTGTCTTCCTTACACAAAGGATGCTTTCGGAGTGATTGACGTGAATTCTTTAGTAATGTTCTACAAGGGCTCGAGATTAAACAAACAGAAACGCACACAAACACCGATTCAAAAATAAAAACATCTATCCAAAAGGCAAAACAAGTTTAACTTTTCACCCCAATAATGATGTCGCCCGGACGTCGATTGGAGTCACACATTCTGTCTCTGATCCACGCGCCTCTCGTTCTATCTCTCAGCGTCATTCAAATTCACGCATTGCACCCTACACGAGACCTGCCACGCTTCTTTGCGCACTTTCCAAAATAATTACAAATGAAAAGTTACTAACACATATATCAATATATAAAAACACACAATATATAATATGAATATCCATAATACACTTTTTTTTGGGTTAGATCACGTAAGTATATAAATGTGTAGTTAAACCCACCACCAACCGACAAAGCCAACTAGTAAGGTTTGTCACGTAAACAGAAAATACAAATTCGTTACTAGTACAGCACACCGGTGTGTTGGAGCGCCAAGCCACAATATTTACAATCTGAGTACGATAATTATATATAGTAATAATATTAATCTTCTTGGTTCTTTCGGTAAAGTCACGTAGAAGGGAAGTAATAAAATAATAAAAATAAAACATAATAAAATAATTCTCACGACGTTTCGGCCACAACGCAAGCAGCCGTCCTCAGGTGAAAACCAGGTCTGTCGAGGCGACCTGGTCTGTCGAGGCGACCTGGTTTTCACCTGAGGACGGCTGCTTGCGTTGTGGCCGAAACGTCGTGAGAATTATTTTATTATGTTTTATTTTTATTATTTTATTACTTCCCTTCTACGTGACTTTACCGAAAGAACCAAGAAGATGAATCCCTGCAGTCACGAAAGCTTTAAATCGAAAATTAATAATATTAATACATACATATATTTGTATACATAACCCTAAAAAAATTACGGGGCAAACAGGGTCACCTTTAAATAAAACCCGGTTATGTATCGCTGCAATCAACAACAAAAATCTCAGTTATAAGTTTTCCAAAAAGCGTGACGAAACCTCGACCAGCGATAACCACGTTCCAGGACCGGCCCGGGCCGTCGTGAGCAGCAGGAACAGGCGACGATGACAGCCCGAGGCGGGCGCGGACTGTCCAGCCTCAAAATGAACACCCGATGCGGCCGGGCGTGGTGCTGGCCACCCACCCCCTCGTGTGCCGTGCCGACGTTCATAGGTGCTGCTCGCCAACAGCACTTGCCCCAACAGTCTGTCAAGGCTATACGGGGGATCTTTGTCTTTTGTGTTTGTGCCTATCTGTATAGGGTATTGTATATACTCTTTGGTTCTTTCGGTAAAGTAACGTAGGTATGTGATTTATTTTATTTTCTACCTACGTGACTTTACCGAAAGAACCAAAGAGTATATGGATTGCTGCAGTCACGAAAGCTTCAAATCAAGTATTGTATATACATACTGCTGGGGACAAATCGATGACCGAGCAGCTTCTTGAACTGCAGTTTTACCAATAACACTGGTCAACACACTTTTTCTGGCATAAGGTTTTCCAACGGTTTTAAGGTAATTTTGGGGTGCTGATTCCAAATCTGGCATCAGTTTTTGAGATATCAAATATTGCATTTTCAATAAAAACTGCAGAAGAAAAATATTAAATAAATGTGGATATCTACATAAAATGATATTATAAACACACTATCCTAAAATACAGCACCATATTTTAACACTAAATCAGTCACTGACTCGCAACAACTTGCAATCATAAGTGACAGAGATAATTTCGGGTAAAATCAATGAAAATGGGGTATGCCGATAGCATAAAAATGAGATGTGATAGAGCAAATCTGAGATCAGATTTGGAATCAGCACCCTGAAATTAGTCTAGAACAGCTGCAAAAGTCCAGGCCAGAAAAAAAAAAATTTTGGTTGACTAGTGTAACGAATTTGCCGTGAGTCTCGTGACCACTTCAACTTGACAGCCTGCACGGCACTTCAACGCGACTGCTGGCAGCTGCTAAGCAGCAACAGAAGCTGCACAATTAAATTGTCTTCTACTCGACAGTGGCGTCGTTACATTACGGTGCTCGAGAATTGAAAACAACACACACAAGCAAGTTTAATGGACGGGTAACAGAGCTATTCACTTACAACTGTAACTTAAACTCTTGCTTCGATCGACCACAAAGCCTAAACCACATCCGCTGTGGCAGTAGCAACAGCAGCAGACGCGAGGGCTTGTTAAATGACAACCTATGTAAGTCAAGAAATTACAGCCTCTACGGCAGTCCGTCGTCACCACCCAGAACATAACCACGGGGTTTATTAACTTAGACTCAAAGGCCGATTCATATTCTTAGTTTTTTTCGGTAAAGTCACGTAGGTAAAAAATTAAAATTAATAAAAGTAAAATAAAAATGAAATTTAAATCACGACGTTTCGGAGGCAATACAAGCTTCCGTCTTCAGGTGGAACCGTCACAGCACGATAGCTGTATCTTGAGAGAAATTCCAAGAAAACAGTATTTGCATATATACTGGTTGAGGGTGGGAGGAGCCAAGGTAGGCCCTGAATATTATTTTTGTGAGGTTCGGTGCGGCTGAAGCACGCTGTTAGGAATGAGCCTTTGTTGTGTAAACTAGGTGCGGATGATGTAAAGGTGCGTGTAAAAGGGACTGAGCCTTTTTGTTATGTAGAGATGATGCGGCTGAAATCGCTGCCAGGAAATGAGTCTTTGTTGTGTAGAATGGTTGACTGAGCCTATTATTTTGTAGAGGTGGTGCGGCTTAAATCGCTGTTTGAGTTGGTATCGCGTGACTTTACCGAAAAAACCTAAGAATATGAATCCTTGCAGTCACGAAAGCTTCAAATCTAGAATCAAAGGCCGATTCACAAGTGCAAAGGAGGAGGCATGCACGCATGTTTGTTTGGAAGTATGTATGTTGAACTTCTTTTGCACCGTGCTAATCGGAGGTGCGGCATCATCGACAGAGGGCCGCTGAGTAGCGAGTTGTTATCGATCACGAACCCTGATGACGCTCGCCGTACATTTGGAGTTTGCGTGTGTGTGTCTCTCCCCCCCCCCACACCACCACCCCAACCCCGTGGTGGCCGTGTGGGCTTTCTCTGGGTTCCTGCGGTGTTTTTCCCTCCCCGTTTATAATCAACATGCGAATTGATGATTGGGCTGCTTGAATGTTCCTCGTTGGGCAAGCGTTTTTGTGGCCAGGTCGTTTCAGCGGGCCTGACCTGGTACATTTAAAGTAAATAGTAAAATCGACAACAACAAAAATACCCACTCCGCTACTCATCCTGGCTCACCAACCACCCTCGAATTCCAGCCGCCGATCTCGACATCAACACCAATCCGACAATTGTTTGAGTTGGTATCGCCGTTGCTCGAGCACAGACCCGAAAAACGCCCAGCGGTCTGCACACAAACGGCTCATTCAAACAAAAACAAAGTTGTAACCATATTCCTGGTTCGTTCGTAGAAGGGATAAAACAATAAAATAATAAAAATAAAACAATAAAATTCTCACGACGTTTCGATTGCAACACAAGCAATCATCATCATCAGGTGTGAATACCACAGCAAGAAATGTATCTTTACCGAAAGAGCCAAGAATATGAATCTCTGCAGTCACGCAAGCTTTAAATCGAAAGTTGTAACCAGTAAGGAGAAGGCCAATCTAAGGCAATTGCCACATTTCGTGACAGGTAACCTACAGACTGAGAAATGTCAGTTGCGGCAATTGAGGGAGGGAGGTAGAAGGCGCAGGGGCTGGGAGGGTGTGTGATCTGAACACACCCTTCCCCTTCCCCTCGTCCCACCCCCCCCCCGTTACCTGTAGATTTACCTGTACTTGCCCGAGGATACAAAGCAAACTCGCATCGCCTAGGTAGCCACAGTCTGCGCTGTCAGCTGCTGGGGCAGGAGGCCGTGTACGTGCGGTGAGTTACGCGTCCATACAAGCGCACTCACAGAGGTAATTACTTGCCACAGAGATGATTACACACTCACACAGCCACAGAGATCATTGCACACACACACAGCCACAGAAACAATTACACACACACACAGCCACAGAGACAACAGTGTGCGCGCGCGCGTGTGTGGTCTTACAAAGAAATTGATATTATAACAGGCGACGTTTCTGGTAAAAGACCTACTTCATAGCACATAAACACTACGAAGAGGTGCACACTGCCCGAAGAAGGGTCATTACCTGAAACGTCGACTATCATTCTTCCTTATAAGACTGCACACATTGACGAATATGTTGATTTTTTTTATGTGCGCGTGTTCACCACTGTTAAAGGCATTAGCAGCAGCATCGCAAGATACAATGTGCGTGCATGCGTTACAGTTGCATATCTTACGTGTGGACGTGTGTGTATACGTTTTATACTTGTGTGTGTATACGTGAGATATGCGTGTCCGTTCCGCAAAACATCGTTGCTTATTTTCATTTCTCTAATTAGTTTTAAGACTTTAATATTGCACATGTCTGCGTGTATTATTTTACCTGGCGTATGGTCATTAGTGATGAAGTATGGTAAAAACGACGCTCCCCCCCCCCTCCCCACTACTCCTGACCGACACGGCGTTGAGAGA